TTTAGATGCAAGAAAAAAACTGATGAACCAATGAAAAGCAGAGTTACACTGTTTGACCCAACACTTGAAGATTTACAGGTTGTTTTCACTTCAGGAGTAGAAGTTGGTGATGGAGGTAGCTGTGTCTTTGATGTAGCCCTGTTTATTTACAAAGCGTGGTTAAGAAAAAAAAAATAAAAAATAAGAGAGTCCTGTTTCCCTGAACCACTGGGGAATCCAACAACAGGACTCGGTTTATTTGCTTACGGTTCCAAAACGCTTTCCAGTCAGCATCCTGCCCAAAAAGCTTCCTTTCTTTGCTTTCTCTGACACAATTTCCAGTGGTTCCTTGGTGATTGCTTGACTTTTTGGCTCCTTGTTGCCTTTGCTTGGCTCCTCGTGAGGTGCTTGCAGCCCCATGAAGCCCTCCTTTCACCCAAGCCTTGTTTGACCGCTCTCACCCAGGGCTGCGGCTCCGGGCTGGTTCCTCTGCAGTCCCTTTGCTGAAGCAGGAAAGCTGAACTTTCACCTCTGTTTATCCAAAAATTACAGGCTTTTTTTTTTTTCCTTGCATACATTAGCACCAACAGGCTTCCATCCAGCCGTCAGCACCACAGCACAAACGCCTATTTCAGCTTTTGCAAGCTAAACTGGGTGCAAGGAGGTGCGGCTGGTTTCCTTGCGGGTGCAGAGCAGAAGATTCAGGTCCTTCAGCAGCGCAGAAGGCAACCGTACTCTGCTCCGGTGCTCAGGACCTTGTAGGATCTGTGCCCTACATTTATTTACTAGAAGGATTTGATAAATTAGGGCTTTGTTCTCTCAAATTGCTTTATTCTGGGGGGAAGAGGAGAAGGTTTGAGAACTCTCTCCTGACAGCAGTATGGACTGGGTGGGTATCATCAGCCCTAGTTTCATTTGCTCCAGCGGTCTGGCCTCTGAGCGATGGAGCTCCATGGTCCCCTCCCGGAGCTGCTGGGCTTCAGTGGGGTGAAGCCTCCGACCCCCCCCCGTTCTCCTTGGTGTGTGTTTCTCAGCAAGAAACTTTTGCTGATTTGGAGGCATGACTGGGGTTTTCATGTCATCTCCCTCATCTCCCCTAATGGGGAAAAACATTAAAGTCTTGAAAAATGTTTAATGGTGTATAATGAAAGGATGTGCGAGGAAGTACAGCACGCAGCTACGCTATTTTACAGTAAGAACTACAGAGGGCAAATTTGCACTAATGTGTTAAAATAAGTAAGAAATTACTTTGCAATGCAAAAATATCAAATCTCAGCCACAGAGTGATGTTTCTGTAGTGATGTTTCTTAGAAGTCAGATTTCTAATAATGAGAGAAGGGGAATGACATTTTGGCACTGTATGAGGGATGCTGCTTTTACTGCTAAATATGGTAATTTCCATTTATCATGTAAAAGCAAACGTATGCTGGGGCGGAAGATGGTGCGTTATCTGAAGGTTCAAAAAATTAAAATGGGAATATTATTAGATGAAAATAAGAGCTTCTTTTGTGGCTGTCTATTTACAGGTATAATAGGTACTCAAAATATTATGAGATCACGTTATGTACAGTGAAAGCAATCTGCTTTGTTGCTAGCATGCACCTTTGTCTCTGCGCTTAGGGACTGATGAATGTCCTTCAATTTCACTTGCCAGGATAGAGACTTTCCTTTTTCTACAAAACCAAACCATTACAAATAATTCAGAAAACTTTCCTTGCAGCTGGGGTCAGCTAGGGCTAGTTTGGCTCTGAAGTGGTGTGGGTCTTTTACCCCCTTTTATGGGACTGAACTGAGAAGATGGTGCATAGAGGAAGTCTTGCAGAGCCACTGTCTGTTCTCATGAATAAAGAGCTCCTCTTTTCAAGGAGAGAATTTGCCTTTTGTGAAAGGTGGTGGCTCCCCTTCCCTGAGACTAAATCGGATCCTTATTTACGGAGGAGGAGCAACGTGTGAAGGAGCAGAGTGAGTCTCTGCACGCACGCTTGACCTGGAAAGACCTATTGAGGCTGGATGCGTGCTCCAGGAGCCATCCTCACCCACCCCAGCCCGTGGACGGCATGGCTCGCCACCATCTCATTTGTGATCCTGGAGCACTGAGAGATCCATCAGGCTGGGACCACCACGTCATCCGTGTACACCTGGCCAGCAACACTCAGACATCGGTAAACAGAGCCCCGACACTCAGATATGCTTTAACCAGACTTAGCTACAGCCTGCACAGATGCATGACAAACATCAGCATAAATATAAATGGCTACAAGCGGCCACGCTGTAAGTGCCAAGGCAGTACCACGACAACCGAGTCCCAAATTGTTTTGCCATGTGCTGCTCTCCCCAGGGAGCAATCTTCTCCCACCCTCCGTTCCAGAAGTAACATACCCTCCTACAGTGCACCCTCTTCCCCAGGATCGGGCCCAAGTTTTGGGTAAAAGTGCCTTAACTCCTGCTCTTGTGCTCCAGCCATGAGGTCACAGGCTGGAGGAGGGCAACCATCTTACAGCTGGGAGTGCATCCTTTCTCTGGCACAAGCTGCAGCGCTCAGGCACAGTGAATGTTTTGATCGCTGCTTGTCAGAAAACTGGGAGGCGCAGGTTTTCACGTTTTTTTTGTCTCGTTACAATACTCTGAATGAAAGTGAATGGGTAGTTGCGTTCAGGCATTAGTTCTGACTGTCTGCGTAGAGCTGAGCTAACTCCAGAATTTGAAAGACAGTGACTTTTATCAATTGACCTGACCCCAGTTAAGGAGGAGTCTCATTTTTAGTCTCAAAGGATTAAAGTGAAATATATGCTCAGCCTCCCCCTCCTTTCCTCCCTCCCATGTTTTTCAGAACTCTCTCTTAAAATTAAAGGCTTTGAACCCCCTAAAGTAGCAAGGTTAGTTCCCTGCCTGTTTTATTTTGGATTTCAGGATGCTAGTAAGGGAGAGAAGATGGAAAAGTGCTACGAGGGGGGAATATCCTTATCACTGACCTGTGAACTTCGCACTTCCCATCCTCTGGGTTTTACTGTTCTGTTCATGTAGGGGAGCAATACAAAAACACACAATTGTCTCCTCGCAAACAAAGATTAAGGAGTGTCATTAAAAAACCCAAACTTTTCTTGCAAATTCTTCTGCAGTGGGCTTATATTGTATTAAATCCTATTTCTTCCAAACAGCTGCATCTTTAGATTAAGTATGTTGTTCATCATTCATTTTACTTCTGACACCAGTTTTTCTATCTGCTTAGAGCTGTATTTGCATTTTTCTCATGGAATTTTGCCACTGAGCTTAAAAGAAGCAGATTTTGGCCATAAGTGAAAGCCAAAGTGATAAACAAAATTTTTAAGTTTTGCAGTGTAATATATATAACTTATTTCCTAATTTTTAATATGGTTTGTAGGAACCAGATCTCTCACTACATGAAGCTGAAAGCATGTATAAATGTAAGCTGAAAGTCTAAGTTTATGCCACATTTATATACAACCCTTTCTTAAGCTTATATTAAAGTGCCTTTATGATACTGACTTCCAGTACAAAAAAAAAGCCCTAACGAAGGGATATTTTTTGCAAATCTGAAACAAACAACAGGGATAGAAAAGTCCTTAACTTGTCATCCGCAGTGACACAATGAGAATGACGATGTGAATTATAACGATTTCCACGGCAACAGTTTGGAGGAGTAGCTCACATAGTAATTACTTTCCAAAAACTTGGCGATAATCTTTCTCACTTTAAGCAGAAACATTTGCCTCCCCCATCGCAACCATAGCATAGCTCAAGTAAGAGGAATGAGATCTGCCCGCATAGAAAAAACATTGCTAATCTCCATTGAAATGTACAACTCGAGCCCATCCCCAGCTAGTTTTATCCCACAGATTTCTCTGAGCCTTCAGATATCAGAAAACACTAACAGTCCTTTCTTCAGAGCTGACATTAAATCTGGATGCTTTTCTGTTGAGTTAGAAAGTGAGGAAATAGAAACTTACCACGGCAGAGCAGCCGGGGCTGAGATCATGCCCACGGCTCGGCAGATTTCAGCCCGATTCTTCCCTGACAGCCCACATTTATCCTTTTTGTGTGCATGGAACGCAAGCCGAGTTAGTCCCACACGGAAGATCTGCGTGCTCGACTTTCTAAAAGTTTACCCATTCATCTTTAAAATCTAAAGCGACTGGCAGTTGTCTGCCTTCCTTTGTTCGGAGAGGAAACAAAACTGCTGAACGCTGCAGCCATCATGTCTTGGGAAACGGGACACAAGAATGGGCCCAATGTCTGGGCAGGGTCTGTGGGCAGGGGGAACTCTTGGGGGTCTCGATAGGAAACGCTTTCCATTGGGCAGGGATGTATTATTAGTGTCTGAGCCCGCCCCGCGCTCTGGGTCTCTGCTGGGTCCCTCTCGCGGGGCTGTACTCCCTTCCAGAGCGTTGCCCAGCCCAGGCAGCTCCCAGTTCAGAATTAGCAGCTTAAGGACAGCCCGACAATGGGTAACGCGGATTTCCTGAGCAATTAGCTGGCGGACACAGCCTGCGAGAGCGTGCCCGCGCCTCCACGCCGAGGATGGTAATGAGCAGGGGAAAAGCTGTTTAAATCTCGGATTTTCCTTTGCATGGCTGTAATTGTTTTTCCTTCCAATTAAAAAAGTGAGAAGGAGAGGGGGGAGCTGGGGATCGGGAAAGCATTGGGTAAGACTAGGAAGCTGCAAAGCAAAGCTGGCCGTAAAAATAAAATATCTTTCTAAACAGATTTAGAAAGGGGTTGTTTTTTAGGTTGGGGTTTGGTTGGGGGTTTTTAAATCTTCTCAAAGGAGCTGACTAGAACAGTCTGGACTCTTGTCCCCCAGCAGTTTGCTCTGAAAGCCCTGGGTTCCTGCTGGAAAACCTGTAGGCTTTCAAATGTTTAGGGATGTAATTAAAAATACTCCAGGGAAGCACGGCTGCTTTTGCCTGTGTAGCTCGCCCTGAGAGCTGCTGCTGCCTTTCAGTGAATCTGCCTTCCAGCAGAGCCACTAGCTAAGAGGTTTTTATTTTTTTCTCTCTTACCTTTAATATCAGCCCTTCAGCTAGGGGAGAGGATCTTCTGGCAGCAGGAGTAATGCAGCAGACTACTTATTTGCCTCAGCCTGTTTATGCCGTGGAGCAGCCGGTGCCCTTTTATTTCTTTTTCAGCCCTCTCCAGTTCCATAGGTTTGAAATCCTGAGTCTGCTTTTAAAGCCCAGCCTCCCACCTAACGTGTCTCGCTCGCATTGTGTTTGTCTCTCCTTTCCTCCACTCTTCTTGGCTGTTCCCACAGGCAGCCAAGGCCAGTAAACAACTCATTGTGAAGCTGGAACTAATGTTATTCCTTGGGCTGGTGGCTGATGCAGCGGTCTCTGACTCGCTTCTGCAGCACACCCAGCTGCCACAGGCTTTTATCCAGTCGATGCAAATAACTTCCTGAATATCTCATGTAACAGCCTAACTCCAGTCTGCAAAACCTCATCCTCTGAGGGCTCACGGTTTAGTAAAACATAAAAGCACAAGCGTGGATTTGGATTGAAAATGGTGAAGGTGCAGATGTTTCCTGCTCCTAATGATCCAAGGTCCATTTTCCCTTTTTTAGCTGGTAAAGATGACAGACAATCTGGGTAAATTGTGAAGGGATGGCCAAAGATACCAGCCATCACTGTCACTGCGTGCAAACGTGGGGGTGAGTATGCGGGCTGGGAGAAGGCTCAGGGTGCAAAATCCACCAGTATCACCAGTAAACGTGCATACAGAAATCAGCTTTGGCCCTTCATGGCTTGTGGGCATTTTCAGGCTGGCTGCATGGAAATCCTGATCCCTCGGGTATAATGCAACTGCTTTTCACACCCCGAGGTCCATTCTTATGCGGGTGTGAGTGCTCTCAGTGGGTACTGATTAAACAACATGTCTGCATTTGAAAACACCCTTTTTGGGGAAAGAAGTGTGGTTTGGATGGTTTGAAGCTGGGTGTACAGATACAGATGAGAATGAGCACATTGAAACCCTTTGCAGATTAACATCCTGCGTCTCAGCTTTCAAAACTACCAGTCGCTGGGCAAACCCATTAGGGGGGAGACTTATTACTCCTTGAAGATTAAATACGGCATAAATCTTAAAACAAAACAAAACTTCTGTGCTTCTTACAGTATTTAGTCAGAATGTGGCAATTGTGCCAATTTTGATGCTGTTGGAATTTAACCAGGCAGCTGTACCTATCTGGGGTGTTTGCGCTCTCTCTAGGGTTATTGGTTTAATTAAGTACTCCTAACAAGAGTCTTCAGCCGTTGTGAACTTCAAGGTCTCTCAGGAACTCCTCCTTATAACGTTACCTCTAACCTAACAGGAGATGGGGGATGGTATTTTTGCCCCTTATGGAGTCCATCTTTCTAAACCATCATAGTGGTTCCACTTTGTATCCAACCATGGTTGCCATTGAATTCAAAAGCATCTCTAGTGAGCAGCTTATTCAGTCACCTGTTGCTTTGGGTTTTTTCTTTGAAAAGGAACATCTTTTTCTGCTGGCTATAGCCAAAACTAGAAGCTGGACAAGTAGAACCTCTAGGTTGACCCATGATGCTACTCTCCAGCCTCTAGAGATCATTAAAAAAAAAAAAAAATCCCAAAGTTTTCCCTTATGGGACACAGAAAGGTTTTGTTATTAACGAGAAAGAAAATGTCCCTAGAGCAATATATTCCTGCTCCCCTCCAAGACACATTTCACAAAGCCATACACATACGCCTTTACCTTCTCCACACCAGTTTAAATAGGCCAAATGCTGTGCTATCAATGTACTCTGTATATTTTTTTAAATAAATAAAGTACAAACATTTCCAACAAGGTACCCTTAACATAGGTTTATTTGCCAAACATGAAAAAAGGAGGTGGCTGCCTCCCTTCTTGGTTACAGTTACAGGCAAGTGTTTTCTTTAAAATGGAAAAACAATGAATAGACTCCTCGGCTCTTCATCTCTCCTCTCCGCACAACTCATTTGCTGTCCCCACCCTGATCCCATGGTGTTCATCTTAGACTTGGGACAGGGTGGGATTTAGTGAGCTCTCTTTGTTAAAACATTGGCAGTACATCAATAATCTCTAGTTATTTTGGAAAACAAGGGAAACTGGACTGCTATCTCATTGGAAACCATGGCTGCTGAGAAGGCATAACATGTTTAAGCAAAAGCTTTACCCCCTGTTTACAGTACTCGGATTTTCTGCTTGTGTGTAGGAACCCTACTGATACGATACGTCTGTTATGTTTTCGGTTGTCTATTGTGTCAGTGGTCTGGTGGCTTTTGGACTGGCGTATGAAATTTCCGTTTATTTCAGCCAGACAGGAATATCTGAATTTAAGGAAAAATTTTGCCCAGAAGACTAGCATATTGCATTTCCGGATTATTAACGCTTAATTCTTCTGTTGTCAAACATACTGACTATTTTCAGTCAATTGATGCTTTATTGTGCCAAGATTCCTACCTCAGGGCACTTACTAGCACTCAAAAGGAGCCAGAGAGCAGAAACCAAATCAAAACTGCATTTTAAAGGCCACTAGAATATATATGATAGAGACGTTAGCTTTTCCCTTTCCTTCTCTATTCATTGGCAAGGCTTGTTTCCTTCCTTTGCTTTCCTACAACAGGAGACTTAATTTGTCATTTGGGAGCTAAATATTGCGTGGCTTTAGTTCATCCTGGTACGGCAGCACATATCAGATGTTCTGAGGCCCCGTGGAGCCCTCCCTCCCGTAGAGAAGAGTCTGTGAACAGGCTGCAGTGGTCAAAAGGAACCATCCGGGGGTGCCTTCACGGCACCAGAGTGGTTGGGGAAGTGGCTCACCCCATGTTGCCAAAATACCTACTCCTTGAGCTTACAAACTCGGTTGTATTTAGAATTTTTGGTTGTCTGCAATACATCCATATGATGTCCTGCATCATTTCCTCATCCCACGAGGCATACAGCTTCCTAAGGTTTTAAAGCACCAGCTTTAGGACTACGGCTCCCACCCTACAGCAGCTCCAGTGGAATAAGGTTAATGTCTGGGTGACCCCAAAGGAAACATTTGGAGGATTAAACCAACAGGTTCAATTCCATTAGAACAGAGTATTTCATTTAGATGTACCCCAGGAAAGCTAAAGGAAAAAATCAGTAATACTGACATTTTCCGGGGGGGGAGTCACTTTACAGAAACCACAGTCTCTGCTGGAAAAGATTTTGAAGGAACCTTCCTGAGCAGTTGTAGCAGAACCCCTCAGGAGCTCACTAAAGCTGCGGTGTTTACTAATGTATAATGGTTTGTCAGTGCTTCCATTGGAAATCCTTTTTGAAGAGTTTTATAACAAAGCCATAAAAAATCACTTTGGAATCAAATGGAGATGCAAAGCCTCATCCTGTTTGTTTGTTTGTTTGTTTGTTTTAAATATGCATTTAGAAGGACCTTTTTTTAATCATTTTAAATGCTGTAGAGAGATGGCAAAAATAAAAAAGCAAGTGCCCATTTGAATCAGTATCCTTGCAATTTTAAGAAGGCTCCATTTGAAAACCCTGGTTTGTTAATTTACCAGCACTTAAAGTTCCATTACTTTCCAATCCAACAGCACTTTTTGCTAATAAACGACAAGATATTTCTTCTCTCAAATGTTTAGTCAAATTGAAGATTTTCGGGGGCGGGGGAAAGTGCTGCTCATGCCAACGCAGTGACTGAGCGTCCAGAAAGTCCCCGCTGCTCTCGGTGCTGACAGTTTTCTAGTGAACACAGTCTGCTAAAACACAAATACGGTCCATCCAGGTAAGGACTGGATTAACCGATTAACCTGTGATTTGTTTCTCTGATTTTTAGACCCATCCAATAGCAACTATTTGCATTCTCGTGAGTCCTGAGGGCCTGCCTTTATTAAATGCAGTTAACTCGAAGCAAAGGCATTAGATTAGGAGCTGCTGAAATGTGTTTCGTTGTATAAAAAGTAAAACAAAAACTCATACTGTTTGCTAGGTTGGGCAAATAGAAACCTCTGGTGGCACCAAGTGCCTGAACCTAAATATTCCTCCAAACCATGCATTTTTTCCTAAACCTTTGCTTTTTTTCATCATCATCAATAAGCTAGAAGAATGTCAGTCTTTTGGACAGTGTCCTCTCCGTGCCTCGAGGCACGCCTCTCCCTTTGCTTTCCATGTTTTGCAGTAATTTAACGGGGCTCTTCCAAGTGTGTCTCAGTAGTTTCAGAGCCTAATTTTTCCTGTCGACGGAGAAGGGATTCATTTTGCAGACTCCCCACTCGTTAGTCATTTTCCCCGTAACGTGGAGCAATTTCCAATTTTGCATGACCAAATCTAGCCCATAATGTCTCCCTTCAGAAGCTGCATCCAGGAGTTACTTCAGGCAAGAAAGAAATACCTGATTCTTCTCTCCTCCAGAATGAGTTCAGAAACTCTCTCTGTCCTAATTTGGTGTGGGATCTGGGCTCGTTGGTTCTTTTTACGCAGTTCAGAGGGACTGCTTTTCAGTTCTGCATGCTTCAGAGTCCCCGCTTTAATAAACAGGCGGTAACGTATACCATTGTTTTGACAAGAGGCACCAGTTATGCCGAAATCTTATCCCCTGGAAAACGGAGCAGGTGTTTTCCAGCAAAGCTGCTGGGCTGCCTGCGTGAGCCGCCGCCAGCACCAGCTGATGAGGAGCCTGATTTCAGAGTTAAGTGACATTGCTCCTGTCGCGGTGGAGGATGATGTTTGCATGTGTCCAAGGGGAAGCTGAAACGGCTGCCTTTGTCTTCCCACGGTGGGGAGCAGAGCAGGTTTCTACAAAAAGCGGGTGAAATAGAGTTGCTTTATTCTTTTTCTGAATCCCAGTGATAGACAACCAATGGCTTCTATTCCAGGCATGGTGGAGCCTGGGTTTTTTAGCAGGGATAGCCCTGTTTGGCTGGTGTGACTGGACCTGCAGCGGCTGTCGGTGTCAGGAGGAGGTACCGTACCTGTATTTCATCCAGCTCAGCTTCCCTAGGCTGAGGCTGTGGGGCAGCTGTAGTCAGACCGTAACATGGCATTGGTAAGTGCTGGCATTTTACTGCAGGGAACTTGAGTTTCACCAAATGAATTGGGAAGGATGAAGAGCTACGATGCCAGGAAGAGCCACTGCAGAGCAGTTAACGAAGAAAGCAGAGAACAACAGACGATGCGGGCCAGTGTTGGCTGACTTCCCCATGCAGTAGCAGGG